AGAGGTTATCTGGGAAATGTAGTTTTTAGCCTTCTAGCCTCTGTAGTACAGGAAGGCCCACTGGAAGGAAACGCTGGGTGCCCAGAGACCATATCTAGCCACATTTTCCTTTATTCAAACATTTGACCTGAGATCACTAGTACTGGTAACATCTGCCAACATTATTTCTCATGAGGGTTATGAAAAACACTGAAAAGTGTTATGAAAAACACTATAGCCACGTGGGGCTCCTATCTTCCTGTATTTCTTCCTATCCAGAGATGGATGGATTGTGGACCCTATGATTCAGAATTGATGTTTAGAGAATAAAAACAATAATAGTCACAAATGATTGAATGGCTGAAATCCTGTTTCAGGATTTAGACAAAAGAACTGCTCCACTGAGAGAGTCTCCTTGGGGAAAGGGGTATATTTAGAAACATGCCATGTTAGAAGAACCTTAGAAATAATCAGTTTAGCATTTTCCAAAGTTTGCCAAAATCTTTTTAGATCCACATGATGCTTTACCAAAAACAAAGGCATTCAGTGATCAAACAAATTTGGGAAACAGTGCATATCCCCATCCTGAAGAACCATGGTGCACATCAGTGTATTGGAGGCTCTAGGAAGTCCTGTGGTAAGGGATCTGCTTAACTTTGGTCCACTAGTTTCCAAATGTATCTGGCCCTAGAACCTTTCCTTTTTTACACAATGCCTGTTAACCTTCTGAGGAATTGGAGTTGGACGGGACATGTGCTGTGAGGACTGAATCTGATACCAACTCCTCTTTTTCCATATGAGGAAGCTGAGGTCCAAGGCAATGAAGTTATTTGCCTGTGATCACAGAAATCCTGGGCAATACAGGTGGTAATAAAACCAGAGTTTTTTTTTCTTCCTCATATGGCTTTATCGAAATTAATTCTCATTCCTTACATCTCTCGGCATCATCAATAAGGTAACAGCTACTAAGAGATGGGCTACTTAAGGAAAATCATAATTTAAACAGTACCCAACCAACATGGAAGGATTCTTTTACTCATGGGGTCCCACAACCAACTTATCACAAAGGAAAAATGGGGAGAACAGAGAAAGTCAATCACTTAGCCTGTGTTTTACCCCTAACTCAAAATGATCAATGTTTTGAGACCAGCTGGGATATTCTTAGACTCACCTTTCTGTCAGCCAAATCACAGACCATCACAAAATAACACCAAGAATACTAGTTATCTAGAATACTAGTTATCTATTACTGCAAAACAAATGATCCTGAAACCTAAAACAATAAACCTTTGTTATGTCTCAGTTTCTGTGGGAATCTTGGAGTGGCTTAGGTGTGTGGTTCTGGGGCAGCCTTTCATTAGGTCACAGACACAATGTCAGCCAGGGATGGAGTCATCTGAAGACTTGACTGGGACTGGAGAATCTCCTCTCAAGGCACCTCCCACACAAGCCTGGGAAGTTCATTCTGGCTGTTGGCAGGGGGCTTCTGTTCCTTGCCACATGGACTGCTTGCCATAGGCTGCTTGAATGGCTTCATCACAGACATGGTGGCTGGCTTTCCCCAGAGTGAGTAATCCAAGACAGAGCGAGCAAGGAGGAAGCCTTAGTGCCTTTTATGACCCCAGTCTCAGAAGTCACATACCATCAATTCTGCCATAGTCTATCTTTACTTAGAAGTGAGCCATCATATCCCACTCACACGCAAGGGGAGAAGAGTTAGTTTTTCCCTTTTGAAGGGGAAAGTGTCAAAGAATTTGCGGATGTATTTTAAAACCACCATACTATGAAAGAGTTGCAAGGGGGAAGGATGCTAATTAAATGACAAACAACAACAACAACAAACAAACAATCAAGAAAGGCTGGGTGCAGTGGCTCATGCCTGTATCCCAGCACTTTGAGAGACCTAGGTGGGAGGATTGCTTGAGTCTAGGAGTTTGAGACCAGCCTGGGCAACATAGGGAGACCCCGTCTCAAAAAAGAAAAAGTTGGGCATGGTGGCTCGTGCCTGTAGCCCCAGCTATTTGGAGGCTGAGGTGGGAGGATAGCTTGAACCCAGGAGTTTGAGGTTGCAGTGAGCTATGATTGCACCACTGTACTGTAGCCTGAGTGACAGAGCAAGACCCTGTGTAAAAATACAAAAAACACCCAAAAAACATTTTCTGAGGGTGAAAATTCATTTAGAACAAGAACAAATACTAAACAGAAACTCTGAAAGAGACCAGGAATTTAAATTTACATGGGACTTGATGCCCAACCTGAATCACTGGCATAAACATCCTTGAACTTCTTTGTAAAAAAAAACTTCTGAATAAAAGAACTTCTGAGAGAAAACTTCTATTGCTGGCACTGTGACTAGGAAAGTACATGAAGGATTTGAATCAAGGATAAGCAATTCGGAGGGCATATCCAGTGGTTTGACTTGCATCCTTCCAAGTTAACTTTTCCTTTCTTGAGACTTTCAATTTTCTAAATGTTGCAATATCCCAACATGACCAAAAGGGTCAAATTCCAGCTCTAGTCTTCACATCTTTTTTTTTTTTTTTTTTCCTTCTGAAGGTTTATATTCATTTCCCTATGCTGTCTGAAAGCAAGATATCATGATCTAATTGCCTAAGAATTTATTTCCAAATAGTTGTTGACAGAGCCTGGAAGTCTCAGAAAGATCAGACGGATCATATTCCTTCCTTTACTCGAGTTTTTTTTTAATTAAAAAAAAAAAAAAAGACCAACAACAACCATGATCCCTAAAGAACTTTCCTTTGTGGCACCTGGGGTATTCAGTCAGTCAACAAGCTTTTCTTGGACATATGATGGAGATGAGACGTTCTCTAGGACTCATATATTGGGAGCTAAACAGAAAACAGATGCAGATAAATACAATAATCACAAAAGCGGGATTGAGAAAGAGAGAGAGGAATGGGGCTGAGGCTACATCTAGGCAGTTGTGTGCAATGAGGTGGATTTATTAAGGAAAATGTTCCAGAAAAGATGAACTTAAAGCTATTCTAAATATTTAGGGGCAACTTGAGCAAAAGTTTGGAGAGAAAAGAATGAAGACTGCATTTTTAGGCCATCAAAGAGATGAGCAAGGGGTGGGCTGGAATATAGTAGAAGATGAGGCTGGAAGGGGAGGGTGGAGACAGTGATTAAGATGGTTTTGAACAAACTGATCTGCACAAGAGTTTGGTGTGGTTGGAGCAATTATAGGTTGGTGCAAAAGTAATTGAGGTTTTTGCAATTAAAAGTAATGGCAAAACCGTGATTACTTTTGCACCAACCTAATATTTTGTGAGAGGAAAAAGTTTTTCAGTATACTGTCTCCCAAACCAAACCAAACCAAACCAAAAAAAAAAAAAAAAAAGCCCAAACCAAAAAAATCTTTGCTCATTAATATAGACTCTTAGAAAGTCAGACCCTTATAAGGAAGATGTGGGTTTAAGATCTTTCACCGCCTTCTTGGGCAACATCCTGTCACCATCAAGACTGAAGGTCAACCAACCGCCCACGGAGGAAAGGCTTGAGAAAGATCAGTGGCTAACTGATTCATTCATTCATTCATTCATTCATTCATTCATTCAATAAGCATGCAGTGAATGCCTTTAGGTTTGAGAGGCAAGTAGGATTAAATATACCGTCTGTGGGACTGGGACAAGATGGCAAGCAAGTCTTCATTTATCAGCATAAGTTTCATCTTTCTCTTTCTCCATGTCATGGAAATTATTGAAATATTTTTCAAAAAATTTCAGTAAACATTTATTGTGATCCTTCTATGTATATGTCAGGGACTATGCTAGGTGCCAAGAATACTGAAATGACTGAAGCATCATATTGACAATGGTGACAATAAACTTACAGCCTAAATATTTCCTTTTCTGCTTCTAGCTTTCGCTGTGCCAAAAGGGGGAACTATTTCTCCTGGAACAGAGCGGACAAATGTGCAGCAGGTGAACAGAATCATATTTGCTTTCCAGCTGCTGCACCAGCTGTGTCATGCTGACAGCGGCCTCCACCTGTCTAACTCCTGCTTCCACCAATTCAGAACCAAGATATTTTTGTACTCATATCCTGGTATAAACCAACTGCTGATGGAAGTTCTTTGATGCTGAATTTGGAATCAAATACATTCTACTTTCTGGAAATCCATATACTAGTTGGCTGCTTCAGTAGCGGCGGACACAGATGTAAAATGCAGCAATGGTCAAGGAATTTCTCAGAGGAGGAATCAATCCTCTCATTTTGGTGGAGGAACCTTGGATACAGGGAGGATGAGGGACTGACTCAAAGTCATCTGGCAACTTAGAGGCGAGGCCAGAGCTCCTCAAATCTCCTAGCTCTGAATCCGTGCTCTTTTTATTGAGCCAGTCATGACATAACCCCCCAAATGAGTACAGCTTTTAATCTCCCACATCAAGGGGCCTGCTGGCTGCAGACTCATGCATACACATCACGGTGGTTTCTGGGTGGTTGATGCTCATCACCCTCTGACTTCATTTCTTTTTTCCTTTGCAAAATGGCTATTGCCCAGAGGCAGCATCTCTTTTCTAAAAAGTGAACATGCCAGAAGGGTTTTTGGAAACTGCCTTGCTATCTGTCAGGAGCCAGATGATTCACAGGGATGAACCAATGCTCATAACAAGGATACCTGATTGGATTACCAATTAGCCGCCTCCACCTCTGCAGGGTGGTTGGAAAGAAGAGAAAAGGCAGTGTTTAGTTTGGGCAAATACCAAAAGGACTTTATCATTCTCATCAAGGCATCAGCGTGGCACATTAGACCTCTTCCAAGCCATTCCACTGGAACTTCTCTCTCCAAATGCTCCAGCAAGAGTAAACTTGTTGTGCAAACATTGGATCATTGTGTCTGAGCTACAGAAGCACCTCTGTGTCGGCGAAAGGGGAGAAACTGGCTGACTTGCGTCTGTTTTTAATGATGTCTCTGCTGCTGGGAAAATTTGGAAGCTGCAGGTAACATCTTCCCCTTTGAAAAAAAAACCAGGCTGCCCTGGAATGTGTGAGCTTACCTTTACCCGATGGAAGCGCCTCGGTTTGGGTCTGCCCTGGGAGGGACAGGCAGACTTCTTCTCCATCTGGACCCAGCAAGAAGTGTCCCAGGGTGGGGTCGCTGGAATCTTCTTGAAAACAAGCACAAGCATGGGCAGTGTCAACACCATGTTGGTGAGGGAGACAGACTGAACCTGGGCCTTGTTCCTCTAGTCCCCCGTGGGCACACACCCGTAGATGCACGTGGGCTCAGGTGCCCGCCAGAGTATAGTGGGTGCCTGTTCCTGGGACTCAGCAAAGCGGGGCTATTCTTCAGGCTCTGCCTTCTGGGGGTCAAGGTGGGATGAACAGGGAGGGGCTGCCACTCGCCTACATCATGCCTTCGGGAGAGCCTGGCTACCACAGGGGCAGGGCTACGCAAGCATGGGCACTCTGTGTGAAGGAAAGGGAGTCCCTTCCTTCAGCCATGTGCAGCCCAGCCCCTGGGAACAGGACTTCCTGCTTCCTGCCTCTGCTGTCCGCCTCCGTCAGATGTCCTGTGCAGTACTCAGCATACACAGCCATAACCTCTAGATGAAATACTGGGATGAGTTGGTGATGCCAGGAGCTCAGGTCAAGGAAAAGGATGCTGTGTCTCCCTAGTTACTTAGAAAGATTGAAGGTATTTTTTATAACCTGACTGTAAAAGTAAAAAAGAAGTCATTTATTCCCCACTTGAATCTCAATGCTCAACCCAGAACACTCCTGGGACTAGATTGTGAGGTTTCCCCCATACCAAACAATTCTCCAGCAGATACCAACTGGTTGTCCTATAATTTAATTCAGTTCTGACACTCTCTACCTGGAGATGGTGTCAGATCCCACAGGGTAGGGCTTAGTCCACAAGATTGCCCCCCACTTCAGATGCCAATTGCAAGTCCCAGATCGTGACCTATACTTCTGACTGACCAGCTCTAAATTGGGCCTCCCACAATCCTCCCTCTCCTTGGGTTCAACAGTTTGGTAGGACAGCTCACAGAACTCAGGGAAACACTTACTTACATTTTCTGGCTTATTTATAAAGGACATTAGAAAGGATGTGAACAGCCAGATGAAGAGATGGGCGAGGATATGCCAAGCTTCTGTACCCTCCCTGGGCCTGCTGCCCTCCCACCTAGACACGCTCAGCAACACTGAAGCTTATCAACCCGTGGTCAACAGCTAATAAAGAGCTTGATCTGCAGTGTCCCCTCCCCTTTCCTGGAGGTTGTGGCTGGAAACTCCAACCCTCTAATCCTCTTATCGCTTGGTCCTTCTGGTCGCTGGCCCCATCATGAGGCTATCTAGGGGCCTTACCCTATGTCACCTCATTAGCATAAACTCAGGTGTTTTCAAAGGGGCTCATTATGAATAACAAAAGATACTACTATCATTCAGAAAATTCCAAGAGTTTTAGCTTAGTAATAGAAACCAGGAACAAAGACCAAATTTATTCATATTATACCATACTTACCTTCCCCATCTCCAAGACAAAGGGACCAGGAGTCCAGCTACCTGGACTAGCAGGCCACCCGCTAGAGTGGATGCTAAGGAGCACACACGTACACATTCACACTGTCACAGGGCATGCACACACACCCCCATACACGTGAACAGTGACATACATGAGCATATGACACACATACATTCACAAGACTGAATATATAGATATGTACATGCATATGCAGCCATGCCTATGTAGATGTGCACAACGACATGCATGCACACAAGCACACACATGTACTCACATGGGCATATAAGCACACATCCCACACACATTCACTTACACACATGCACACACCCAACACACACACTTGAGGCTTCAGGCTGCTCTCTTGTCCCAGTCCTGGTCTGGGCATTCTATTTTTTTTTTTTTGAGACAGAGTCTTGCTTTGTTGCCCAGGCTGGAGTGCAATGGTGCTATCTCGGCTCACTGCAACCTCTGCCTCCTAGGTTCAAGTGATTCTCCTGCCTCAGCCTCCTGAGTAGCTGGAATCACAGATGTGCACCACCATGCCTATTTTTTTTTTTTGTATAAAAATACAAAATATCTCTACTAAAAAGTAGAGATAGAGTTTCACCTTGTTGCACAAGCTGATCTCGAACTCCTGACCTTGTGATCTGCCCACCTCGGCCTCCCAAAGTGCTGGTATTATAGGCATGAACCACAGCACCTGGCCACTGGTATTTTATTCTAATCAGATTCTCCCTTTATAAGGATGTCTAAAGTAGGTGTGAGTATCCATTTGCTGTGATTTGTCCCAGGCCATGCAAGTTCCTAGGAAGGCCCCAGGTGGGGACATAATAGTACACCAAGTTTGGTTCATTTGCATCAGAATTAAAGGAGCATTGCTGCCGCACAAGTATAAAGGGGAGTGGTTTGTGAAAGAGAGGTTCCAACCTTGGAATAGTTTCTAGGTGAAAACAGTGTCTCTAGGGGTAGAGAGAATGTTGCGGGCAAGGAAGGGATTTAATTTTGACCATCTCAGCCTGAAACAGAAGCTGCAAACACAGAATGGAACTATTAATCTGTGGATTTAATTTATGCTTAAAGAATTCAATTACATACGCTCTGGGGAGAGAATGAGAGGGGGGTGTGCTGGGCAGGGGGAGAGAGAGAGAGCAAGCGAGACTGATTTAAATACTGAGGCATTCTGTCCCTGAGTGAGCATGAAATGAAAGATGTGAAATCTGTTGCCTCCATGATGGCTCTCTGTTCCCATATGCCTCTCAAAGTGTGAGTTTCTCGCAGCCCTGAGTGTGATTCTGCTGTTAACAGAGGTACCTCTTTCTTTATACAATCTGTCCCCCAAACACATGTCATCTTCTTCATCTGGTGCTCAAACTGAGAAAGCAGTCCAAGCCTTCAACGAAGGAGAAACAGCTGCCTGGACCACACGTTCCTGAAAATGGTCTGTCAGTCTCCAGTGTGGCACCTTCCCAGGGATTTTCCGGGGTAACTTGGACTCTAGGCAATTTTTGCTCTATGAGCTACCTTTAGATGGAAGCCTCAGGGGAGCTGCTCTTGCACTGTCCTTGCATTATTGCTCTGTATAAGCATCTTAGTCCCCTCCTTGACTATTAGCTCCTTAAGGATAAGCACTTTAAGTAAGGCTAAAACCTAGAGGGAATGGCCTTGCCCTGCCTCACCCTTCCCTAGGAATCGGGGTCCTTTTGTCTCTGTGAACAGGCTCTGCCCTGGGCTGGAGTTGACTTCTGTCTGGGGACTCTTCTGTTGGCAGGCTCATCAGGCTCTCTTGCCTCAGGGGGCAAGAGTTATGGCTCAGTTTGGAGTGTGCCTGGTAAATCCAGTAGTGTGTCTCCCCCAGGAGCACAGGGAGCTGTGTCATCAAATGCTGCTGCCAGGAGTGAGGAAAGCACAAAACAGCGTGGCAGTGCATGTCGGTGCAGCAAACCCTTAAAACATGTACTGACCCTTTAGGAATATGCATGGGGAACATTAATGCCACTGACATCATCAGAAACTGTGTCAATTACCCCTTTTCAATGGAGTGCCTTTCAGAAAACTTACATCACAGCAGCCACACAGCCCTGGAAATGAGCCACATACCAGCCAGTCGGGGGCATCTATGCACCCTGGGAATGGTTACCTTGAGCTGCTGGCAGTGCCCTCCTGGGCGCTCTCATGTGCGGGAGACATGGGGGGCTGCTGCGGCCTGATGTCCTAGGGCTATCCAGGCCTTTCTGGCTCTCGGGACTTTTTTTCCCTTTAATCGGGGGTAGAAGATCCAATGGTGGGGCCACATCGTGGGGCGGGGCATCATCATCTTTTAAAACAAAAGGGGAAAAAGCCTGTGTGAGAAACCAGAATCAGCAGGAAGGAGAAGGAGGCTCTCTTCTAACGTGGTTAAAGGACCTCTGTGTGAAGACTGCTATGAAGAACGGGTAATTGTATTGTGGCTAGAAGGGAGAAACTGTCCTGGTGTTAGGATGGTTTATTCTACTCATTCTCAGGTTTGTCCCTCTTTTCCAGTCCTGCTAAGCAGCAGGGACCTGATATCTTCCATGGCCAAAATGACATGGCTCTTGACTAGAATCGTGGCTGTTCATTTGAAAAATTGCCAAGAACTGGGAGGAACTGAGTGGTGGTTGTTTTTATTCTCATCTTATGGATGAAATCCTGAGATGGAAGGAGGACTGGAGAGGGTGCAAACTCCTTCCATCCTCAGTCCCAAGGCTCTGACTAGAGAGATCCCAGCTTTAGAGCTGATGAGATTATTGGATACAGATTTCTGAGCACAAAGTAGTTTTGCTAGGCAGAGTCAATGATCGCATTTCTTCGTCAGGGTTAAATAAAATGTGCTACCTTCCAGATGGAAGTCAAAGGGCATCAGGATTGACGGTAGCATTCCATAAAGCATACCCTATCCTCTGCCTCCATTTTCTTTTCTCAACACCAACAGGGCCTGCTCTAGGAAGCAGGAAACACAGGAACCCAAGTGACTGAGGCCTTGGCTTTGCCTCTTTCAGAGGAAGTGGTCTTTATTTCACATTTAAAACAATAGTTGCTATTAATATTTGGGTTTAAAAATTGGCTTCATGTGGTCTCAAATTATCACAGACTACTAATTCATTAAAAAGAGGCAAAGTGTCTTTACAATGGAAAAATGGGGCAGACATCACCTTTAACCAAATAATGAAATTTAACATCACCTGCAATGGAAGAAACTGACATTTTGCAACCCTTGATATGATGGGCCGAGAAGGACACAACGTCACCTCTGTGATATTCCTACCAAAAGGTTTGATCTGAATCTCATTATGAGGAAATAGAAAAATCCAAATTGAAGGTAATTCTGCAAAGCAACTGGCCCGTCTTCTTAAAAAATGTCAATATCATGAAAAACAAGACTGGGGGACTCTTCTCGACGAAAAGATTCTATCGAGTGGGACCACTAAATGTAATGCATGATCCTGAGTTGAATTCTAGGTTGAAAAAAAGCTATAATAAAGGACCATTATTAGTATAAATAGAGAAATGTGACTATGAATTAGAAATTAGAAAGTACTATTATATCAGTGTTTGCTTTCTTGAGTGTGGTAATTGTATGTGGCTAGGAGGGAGAATATTCCTGGACTTAGGAGATACGTGCTGATAAGGGATAAACGGTACAATGTCTGCAACTTACTCTCAGGTGGTTAAGCAATAAAATAAAAAAAATATATATGTGTGGATGCGTGTGCCGCCTCTGTGGCAATGGAGCAGTCCCACTCAGCATCAACATGCCCATGCAGCAGGGGCCTCTGTGTGATGACTGCCATGATGAACTGCCTCTTTGTTGTTGTTGTTGTTGTTTTTTAGACAGAGCCTCTCTCTGTCACCCAGGCTGGAGTTCAGTGGCATGATCTTGGCTCACTTCAACCTCTGTCTCCTGGATTCAAACAATTCTTGTGCCTCAGCCTCCAGAGTAGCTGGGATTACAGGTGTGTGCCACTACACCCAGCTAATTTTTGTATTTTTAGTTGAGATGGGGTTTCACCATGTTGGTCAGGCTGGTCTCGAACTCCCGACCTTTGGTGATCTGCCACCTTGGCCTCCCGAAGTGCTGGGATTACAGGTGTGAGCCACTGCGCCCGGCCAGAACTGCCTCTTTAGGTCCCTTTCTTTCTGCATCTACTCCCAGGTTCGGTCGCATGCATAATTTATACCAAGGGGCTTCTTAAACCAGTTTCTTTCTGGCAGAGAGCAGAGGAGGGGCAAGTTCTGGCACTCAGTTCCTGGTGGGCATGGCAGCTCAACACAAGTATAGGGCAGTGCAAAATGAACACTACGGAAGATGAAGATCACTGGTGTCCTTTGTCTCATGGCTCCAGCTATGCACCTCGCATTGTGGCCCATAAGCAGAAAGGTGCTTTTTTCTCTATTTGCAGGGTGATCCCTGCCCATATTTGGATTTTTTTTAAAAAAGGAAACATTAAAGTTTTTAGGATCATTAACTCCCACTTAAGAGATAGACCAAATAAGCCTCTGCCTCAATAATCAAAGGACATTCTCTAAATGTTTCGAGGATGTCCTGATCTAGGTTCATTGTTTGGTTTATTCTTTTATTCTTTTTTATTTTTTTGGTATTAGTTAGAAAATCACTATGTTGGGCTTATTCTGAAAGGAAATGTAGTATAATGAGTAAGAATATGGATTCTGGCACTGGAAGCCCTGAGCTCCAATCCTAGTGAGGCCACTTATAGTTATGTGACCTCAAACATACTACTTATCTCTCAGGGCTTCTGTTTTCTGATCTGTAAAAGGAGGAGAGGATTGCTGTGAGGAGTACCTGAGAGAATACATGTTAAAAACTAAGAACAGTGCCTGGCACAGAGGAAGAACTCCAAACACATTAATGTGCATCTTCCTATTTCTGATACCAGCAGCAGACGTCACTTGACATCTGTGATACTGTCATCTTGCACATGCCTTTTGGAAAGGAGGCTCAGCTTTCTGAAAATGGGGAGCTTTCTAAATATGGCCTGTTACTTCCGACCTATCCAACACATAAACACAAACACTTAGATGCACCCATGTGTATATTTTCAAATGTCCACATGTCATGGAAATTGGAGTGAAGACTTTTATCAATATTATGGATTTTTTTTTTTTTTTTTTTTCCAGACAGGGTCTTGCTCTGTCACCCAGGCTGGAGTGCAGTGGCACAATCTCAGCTCCCTGCAACCTCTGCCTCCTGGGTTCAAGTGATTCTTGTGCCTCAGCCACCTGAGTAGCGGGGATTACAGGTGTGCACCGCCACGCCTGGCTAACTTTTTGTACTTTTAGTAGAGATGGGGTTTCGCCACATTGGTCAGGCTGGCGAACTCCTGACCTCAAGTGATCCCCACCCACCTCAGCCTCCCAAAGTGCTGGGATTATAGGCATGAGCCACCACACCCCGCTGATATTATGGACTTTTTAATGAATAAATACCTATTTATAAACAGATTAGAGATGAAATTTCATTGTTTAAAAATACAGGATAAACTGTCAGGCATGCAGCAAACTTTCAGGAAGTTTGATGCCTTTCTACATCTGCAACCAGAAACTAGTAGTGGGATGAGTTAGGGAGTAGGTAACTGGTGAACTGGACACTGTTAGTTTTAGTGCAGCACTTTGGTGAAGGCAGCTGCTGCCTGCACAAAGGCCATCTTCCAGTGGTTGCCAGTGAACGAATCTCCCTTCCAGCCTCCTTTTCCTTGGCTGTGGACCGTTGTGTGTCTTGCCTTGCTTCCCTTCAGAGTGAGGTTCCCGAGGGATGCTGGAGGGAGGGAGGAGCTACCTTGAGGTGAGAGTGTGTCCCTGCCCGCGTCCACTGGGAGATGCACCGTTAACTCCCGTGGCGTTTCTAAGGACACAGGCTTTAGGGGAGGTTTCCACACAGGCCTGGCTTCTTCGCTTCTTTCTGGTTCTGACTTAGGGTGTGGAGCACCTAGGAGAAAAAGAGGAGGCTGAGTTGTAGCAGAGGTCTGTTGTTTTTGCCTAATGTCTCTTCTTTTGGGGACCTATGCCTTCCTTGCTCACACCATGTGGTTTGGTTGGAGCAGTGTCCATTTGCTGATTCCAGAGAGGGGCATGGAACTGAAGCCTGGCATGGGGGTACCTCATTGCCTTGGCCAGAGAGATTGGTTCCGAGGTGGGCACATGACCCTAGTCTGGTCAATCACGGGTGATTTCTGCGCTTTGCAAGAGCTTTTAAGAGGCATATCCTTTCTATAGAGGTTAACAGGAAGGAGATTGGCAGGGAATTGCAGGAAGACGTCTTTATCACCTCATAGTAAGAGCCTGCTTGAGAGGAAAGGCTAACAGAGTTGAGAGACAAGTACTGCGCACATATTTTCCGAGGCCTAGATTCAGCTGCTCCTGCAGTTACCTGATTCTTGCATGAACCAATTCCTTCTTTCTTTCTTTCCTTCCTTCCTTCCTTCCTTCCTTCCTTCCTTCCTTCCTTCCTTCTCACTTTATTCTTCTTTATTACTTCACTATTCACCATTCAGCTACTTATTATTCCTTCCTTACTCTCTTTCTTTCATCCTTCCTTCCTTCCTTCCTTCCTTCCTTCCTTCCTTCCTTCCTTCCTTCCTTCCTTCCTTCCTTCCTTCCTTCCTTCCTTTCTCCTTTCCTTTCATCCTCTCCCCTCCCTTCGCTTCCCTCTTTCCTTCCTCCTTCCTTCCTCCTTCCTTCCCTCTCTCCCTCCCTCCCTTCCCTTCTTCCCTTCCTTCCTTCCTTTCTTCCCTTCCTTCATTGCTTCCCTTCCTTCCTTCTTTCCTTTTCCTTCTTTCCCTTTCTCCCTTTCTTCCTTCCTTCTGTCTTTCCTTCCTTTTTCCCCTTTCCTTTCTTTTAGCTTAACACATTTTGAGTTAGACTTCTGATGCTTTTAAAGGAGGGTCCTCATGACATGTAAATGAGGGAAGAACTCCATGAATTCACTTTCTTTGTACCCGATTCCTATGTTGCATTGTCAGTGTGTTGGCAAGCTCGGTGCATCTGGTTTTAAGAATCTGGTTCATGATGGCCTGGTGGTTTTCCTCACCTTCCTATCAGGGTCATCATGGAAAATAATCAGATCGAACCCAATCTTGTGAATAGTCTTGTCTCTCTTTTTATTAAGTGTGTGTGTGTGTGTGTGTGTGTGTATATATATATATATTTATTTATTTATTATTATTATACTTTAAGTTCTAGGGTACATGTGCACAACATGCACATTTGTTACATACGTATACATGTGCCCCATGTTGCTATGCTGCACCCCTTAACTCGTCTTTCACATTAGGTATATCTCCTAATGCTATCCCTCCCCTCTCCCCTCACCCCATGACAGGCCCTGGTATGTGGTGTTCCCACCCTGTGTCCAAATGCTCTCATTGTTCAATTCCCACCTATGAGTGAGAACATACGGTGTTTGGTTTTCTGTCCTTGCGATAGTTTGCTCAGAATGATGGTTTCCAGCTTCATCCATGTCCCTACAAAGGACATGAACTCATCCTTTTTTATGGCTGCATAGTATTCCATGGTGTATATGTGCCACATTTTCTTTTCTTTTTTTTTTTTTGAGACGGAGTCTCGCTCTGTCGCCCAGGCTGGAGTGCAGTGGCCGGATCTCAGCTCACTGCAAGCTCCACCTCCCGGGTTTACACCATTCTCCTACCTCAGCCTCCTGAGTAGCTGGGACTACAGACGCCCACCACCTTGCCTGGCTAATTTTTTGTATTTTTTAGTAGAGACGGGGTTTCACTGTGTTAGCCAGGATGGTCTCGATCTCCTGACCTCGTGATCCGCCCGTCTCGGCCTCCCAAAGTGCTGAGATTACAGGCTTGAGCCACCACGCCCAGCCTTATGTGCCACATTTTCTTAATCCAGTCTATCATTGATAAACATTTGGGTTGGTTCCAAGTCTTTGCTATTGTGAATAGTGCCGCAATAAACATACGTGTGCATGTGTCTTTATAGCAGCATGATTTATAATCCTTTGGGTATATACCCAGTAATGGGATGGCTGGGTCAAATGGTATTTCTAGTTCTAGATCCTTGAGGAATCGCCACACTGTCTTCCACAATGGTTGAACTAGTTTACAGTCCCACCAACAGTGTAAAAGTGTTCCTATTTCTCCACATCCTCTCCAGCACCTGTTGTTTCCTGATTTCTTAATGATCGCTATTCTAACTGGTGTGAGATGGTATCTCACTGTGGTTTTGCTTTGCATTTCTCTGATGGCCGGTGATGATGAGCATTTTTTTCATGTGTCTGTTGACTGCATAAATGTCTTCTTTTGAGAAGTGTCTGTTCATATTCTTTGCCCACTTTTTGATGGGGTTGTTTGATTTTTTCTTGTAAATTTGTTTAAGTTCTTTGTAGATTCTGGATATTAGCCCTTTGTCAGATGGGTAGATTGCAAAAATTTTCTCCCATTCTCTATGTTGCCTGTTCACTCTGATGGTAGTTTATTTGCTGTGCAGAAGTTCTTTAGTTTAATTAGATCCCATTTCTCAATTTTGGCTTTTGTTGCCATTGCTTTTGGTGTTTTAGACATGAAGTCCTTGCCCATGCCTATGGCCTGAATGGTATTGCCTAGGTTTTCTTCTAGGGTTTTTATGGTTTTAGATCTGACATTTAAGTCTTTAATCCATCTTGAATTAATTTTTGTTTAAGGTATGAGGAAGGGATCCAGTTTCAGCTTTCTACATGTCTAGCCAGTTTTCCCAGCACCATTTATTAAATAGGGAATCCTTTCCCCATTTCTTGTTTTTGTCAGGTTTGTCAAAGATCAGATGGTTATAGATGTGTGGTATTATTTCTGAGGGCTCTGTTCTGTTCCATTGGTCTATATCTCTGTTTTGGTACCAGTACCATGCTGTTTTGGTTACTGTAGCCTTGTAGTATGGTTTGAAGTCAGGTAGTGTGATGCCTCCAGCTTTGCTCTTTTGGCTTAGGATTGTCTTGGCAATGTGGGCTGTTTTTCAGTTCCATATGAACTTTAAAGTAGTTTTTTCCAATTCTGTGAAGAAAGTCATTGGTAGCTTGATGGGGATGGCATTGAATCCATAAATTACCTTGGGCAGTATGGCTATTTTCATGATATTGATTCTTCCTATCCATGAGCACGGAAAGTTCTTCCATTTGTTTGTGTCCTCTTTTATTTCGTTGAGCAGTGGTTTGTAATTCTCCTTGAAGAGGTCCTTTACATCCCTTGTAAGTTGGATTCTTAAGTATTTTATTTTCTTTGAAGCAATTGTGAATGTGAGTTCACTCATGATTTGGCTCTCTGTTTGTCTGTTATTGGTGTATAGGAATGCTTGTGATTTTTGCACATTGATTTTGTATCCTGAGACTTTGCTGAAGCTGCTTATCAGTTTAAGAAGATTTGGGGCTAAGATGATGGGGTTTTCTAAATATACAATCATGTCATCTGCAAACAGGGACAATATGACTTCCTCTTTTCCTAGTTGAATAGCCTTTCTTTCTCCTGCCTCATTGGCGTGGCCAGAACTTCCAACACTATGTTGAATAGGAGTGGTGAGAGAGGGTGTCCCTGTCTTGTGCCAGTTTTCAAAGAGAATGCTTCCAGTTTTTGCCCATTTAGTATGATATTGGCTGTGGGTTTGTCATAAATAGCTCTTATTGTTTTGAGATATGTCCCATCAATACCTAATTTATTGAGAGGTTTTAGCATGAAGCGTTGTTGAATTTTGTCGAAGGCCTTTTCTGAATCTGTTGAGATAATCATGTGGTTTTTGTCTTTGGTTCTGTTTATATGATGGATTACGTTTATTGATTTGCATATGTTGAACCAGCCTTGCATCCCAGGGATGAAGCCAACTTCATCATGGTGGATAAGCTTTTTGATGTGCTGCTGGATTCGGTTTGCCAGTATTTTATTGAGGATTTTTGCATCGATGTTCATCAGAGATACTGGTCTAAAATTCTCTTTTTTTGTTGTGTCTCTAACAAGCTTTGGTATCAGGATGATGCTGGCCTCATAAAATGAGTTAGGGAGGATTTCCTCTTTTTCTATTGATTGGAATAGTTTCAGAAGGAATGGCACCAGCTCCTCTTTGTACCTCTGGTAGAATTCGGCTATGAATCCGTCTGGTCTTGGACTTTTTTGGTTGGTAGGCTCTTAATTATTGCCTCAATTTCAGAGCCTGTCATTGGTCTATTCAGGAATTCAACTTCTTCCTGGTTTAGTCTTAGGAGGGTGAATGTGTCCAGGAATTTATCCATTTCTTCTAGATTTTCTAGTTTATTTGCATAGAGGTGTTTATAGTATTCTCTGATGGTAGGTTGTATTTCTGTGGGATTGGTGGTAATATCCCCTTTATCATTTTTTATTGCATCTATTTGATTCTTCTTTCTTTTCTTCTTTATTAGTTTTGCTAGTGGTCTATCTATTTTGTTGATCTTTTCAAAAAACCGGCTTCTGGATTCATTGATTTTTTGAAGGGTTTTTTTGTGTCTCTATCTCCTTCAGTTCTGCTCTGATCTTAGTTATTTCTTCTGCTAGCTTTTGAATGTGTCTGCTCTTGCTTCTCTAGTTCTTTTAATTGTGATATTAGGATGTCAATTTTAGATCTTTCCTGCTTTCTCTTGTGGGCATTTAGTGCTATAAATTTCCCTCTACACATTGCTTTAAATGTGTCTCAAAGATTCTGGTATGTTGTGTCTTTGTTCTCATTGGTTGCAAAGAACATCTTTATTTCTGTCTTCATTTCATTATGTACCCAGTAGTCATTCAGGAGCAGGTTGTTCAGTTTCTATGTGGTTGAGTGGTTTTGAGTGAGTTTCTTAATCCTGAATTCTAGTTTGATTGCACTATAGTCTGAGAGACAGTTTGTTATAATTTCTGTTGTTTTACGTTTGCTGCGGAGTGCTTTACTTCCAATTATGTGGTCAATTCTGGAATAAGTGTGATGTGGTGCTGAGAAGAATGTATATTCTGTTGATTTGGGATAGAGAGTTCTGTAGATGTCTATTAGGTCTGCTTGGTGCAGAGCTGAGTTCAATTCCTGAATATCCTGGTTAACTTTTTGTCTTGTGGATCTAATGTTGACAGTGGGGTGTTAAAGTCTCCTATTATTATTTTGTGGGAATCTAAGTCTCTTTGTAGGTCTCTAAGGACTTGCTTTATGAATCTGGGTGCTCCTGTATTGGGTGCATATATATTTAGGATAGTTAGCTCTTCTTGTTGAATTGATCCCTTTACCATTATGTAACGGCCTTCTTTGTCTCTTCTGATCTTTGTTGGTTTAAAGTCTGTTTTATCAGAGACTAGGATCACAACGCCTGCTTTTTTTTTTGTTTTCCATTTGCTTGGTAGATCTTCCTCTATCCCTTTATTTTGAGCCTATGTGTGTCTCTGCATGTGAGATGTGTCTCCTGAATACAGCACACTGATGGGTCTTGACTCTTTATCCAATTTGCCAGTCTGTGTCTTTTAACTGGAGCATTTAGCCCATTTACATTTAAGGTTAATATTGTTATGTGTGAATTTGATCCTCTCATTATGACGTTAACTGGTTATTTTGCTCATTAGTTGATGCAGTTTCTTCCTGGCATCGATGGTCTTTACAATTTGGCATGTTTTTGCAGTGGTTGGTACTGGTTGTTCTTTTCCATGTTTTGTGCTTTCTTCAGGAGCTCTTGTAAGGCAGGCCTGCTGGTGACAAAATCTCTCAGCATTTGCTTGTCTGTAAAGGATTTTATTTCTCCTTCACTTATGAAGCTTAGTTTTGCTGGATATGAAATTCTGGGTTGAAATTTTTTTTTATTTTTTTGAGACGGGGTCTCTCTCCGTTGCCCCAGGCAGGAGTGCAGTGGCCGGATCTCAGCTCACTGCAAGCTCTGCCTCCCAGGTTCACACCATTCTCCTGCCTCAGCCTCCTGTGTAGCTGGGACTACAGGCGCCCACCACCTCGCCGGCTAGTTTTTTGTATTTTTTAGTAGAGACGGGGTTTCACCTTGTTAGCCAGGATGGTCTCGAACTCCTGACCTCGTGATTCGCCCATCTCGGCCTCCCAAAGTTCTGGGATTACAGGCTTGAGCCACCGTGCCCAGCCAAAAATTTAAGAATATTGAACATTGGCCCCCACTTTCTTCTGGCTTGTAGAGTTTCTGCCGAGAGATCTGCTGTTAGTCTGATGGGCTTCGCTTTGTGGGTAACCCGACCTTTCTCTCTGGCTGCCCTTAACATTTTTTCCTTCATTTCAACTTTGGTGAATCTGACAATTATGTGTCTTGGAGTTGCTCTTCTTGAGGAGTATCTTTGTGGCATTCTCTGTATTTCGAATTTGAATGTTGGCCTGCCTTGCTAGGTTGGGGAAGTTCTCCTGGATTATATCCTGCAGAGTGTTTTCCAACTTGGTTCCATTCTCTCCGTCACTTTCAGGTACACCAATCAGACATAGATTTGGTCTTTTCACATAGTCCCATATTTCTTGGAGGCTTTGTTCATTTCTTTTTACTCTTTTTTCTCTAAACTTCTCTTCTTGCTTCATTTCATTCGTTTGATCTTCAGTCACTGATACCCTTTCTTCCAGTTGATCAAATCGGCTACTGAAGCTTGTGCATGCGTCACACAGTGCTCGTGCCATGGTTTTCAGCTCCATCAGGTCATTTAAAGTCTTCTCTACACTGTTTATTCTAGTTAGCCATTCATCCAATCTTTTTTCCAAGGTTTTTAGCTTCTTTGCAATGGGTTCGAACATCCTCCTTCAGCTCGGAGAAGTTTGTTGTTAACGATCTTCTGAAGCCTTCTTCTCTCAACTTGTCAAAGTCATTTTCCATCCAGCTTTGTTCCATTGCTGGCGAGGAGCTGCGTTCCTCAGTTGGAAATGCAGAAATCACCCGTCTTCTGCGTCGCTCACGCTGGGAGCTGTAGACTGGAGCTGTTCCTATTTGGCCATCTTGGAACCTCCCAAGTATATCTTTTCATTCTGATGTTTTGACATCTGAGACCTGACTGTCCCTCCGAGGGCTGGCCAATTCCTAGAGACAGTAAATGACTCACCTGGGAACATACCTGTCATATGCACCCCCACCAACCCAGAATTCCTAACCCCCAACAACCTCCTTTATCAAACTCATACATTCCCAGGCTACCATCTGCCTGCTGTAATTATTAGAGGACCAGTACAAGACAGCAAGGGACAGCCCCTATGCCAGAGAGCTGGCTGAATTACTCAAACTAGACAATTCTAAATCTGCTTAGATTGCTTACTCTGCCTTGCCTGTATTCCTTCTATGAAAACCACAATACGACCTCTTGGCTGTGCTCCCTGCCTTCTGCCTCCTGGAGGTTGGTGCGCCCCCGTGTGGCCCTGCATGGTGTGGCATGCCTCCTCCTCTTCGGGAACTGTGAGTAACAAACGATCTTTTCATTGCCAGCTGTCTCCTGATCTGTTGGCCTCACCACACCTGAATAAGAAGACCTGCATTTTAAAACACTGTGTTGTTGATTTTTTTTTTTTTTTAGGGAGCTGAGTAATTTTTTTGGCAAGGTAAAATCCACATATAGTGAATTGCACAGATCTTAAGTGTACAGTTCAATGAGTTTTGACACACCCATAATCCATACAACCAACCCAGAGTGAGAACATTTTCATCACCCAGGAAAGTTCCTTCATGTCCCCTTCAATTGGTCTTTTAAGCTCCACTGTTTGGCATTCTTTCCAGTGAGAAGTCCAAACAGTCTTAGAACAAAATGGCTGTCTGTGTGATTCTCAGGAGTCAAACTCTCTAAAAAGCCAGTGGCAGTCTCAGCTGAAGTTTCTAGAAAACTCAGAACTAGGACTCCTGTCAAAACTAGGACACCTTTTGCCTCAAAGGGCCCGGAGAAGTCCTGGAGCAAGAATGTGTCTTAAACAAGAGTACTATGGAATGAAAGGAAAGTCAGAAAGAGTTTTTCCTTGTGATACAGGGTGAGACGTCACTCAGAGGCTTCCCCTAAAAAGCCCACATCGCCAGTTGGAATTGATCTCCCTTGCTCATATTCTCTTAGAACTTTGCTTAGAAGCACATAATCTCTGTCCTGGCAAAGATTATAGAGGTCATCCCTTACAAAATAACCTAATTCAAAATCAGGAAAATGACTTTTTGGATGAACTTTTATCTTTCTTTTATAAAATGGAGATACAAAGATTCAAGTGTCATTTTTACTTTGGCTGCCAGGAAACTCAGCTAAATCCAGTACTTACGTCAAACCATGAATTCATCTCAGATGTCTGATAACATCTATTTCTCTACTCCTTTTACCTAGTTTTTTTTTTTTTTTCCAATTTCAATTTTAGTTGTCTTGTTTTATACATTGATTTTTTTGTAAGCTGCCTGAAAAGTTCTTGCCCTTTTATAACACCTATGGTGCAGTGGACTTATTTATGTATATACCTGTCTTCCTTTCTCTTCCACAGCTTAACAAAATGCATTGCTTAATGAAGAGTATAATAAATATGTTAAAAATCCAATTGAATATGATCAGAAGAGATCTTCTTCTAGATTTTACCCTTTTTCCTTCTTTAAAAAATATTCTCTGAAGGGGATGACCATAGGGAAGGTCAGCCATGATGTAGGAGCAGGTAGAATTGGCAGGACCCTCTCCCCCCCACCATCCCAGGCTCTCCCTCAGGAGCGCCCATGCACCTGGGACCTACCTCTTCTGTGGGCTTTCTCTTTTGGCGGGTGTTGGATGTGGTAATGAATCTCCACTGGGAAGATGAAGAGCTCTGTTGGGGGCTCATTGGCTTTAAATTGACTCTTCAGGGGCTCCAAGACTCTGGGTGGTTCTTCTGAGATAGGAGGTAATTTCAAAGCCTTTGGTGCCTGGAGAAAATTTAAAAACAAAATGAACATGGCAGGTGTCCAAACCCTGCTGCCTGCAGGGGCAAACGATACTGTCTCTTATTGTATCTCTTGCACCCGGAGCTGCTGAGAGAGGTAAGCTAATCCAGCTGGGAGCTGGTATCTGACTTCAGTGGTACCACTTGGTGTCCTGGGATCCAGAATATGCCCCTGTTAATCCTGCCTGTGATTCCTCTGAGAATTATAAACATGCTCAGTTTAAGAGCCTTTGAGAGGATATATAGTCTTTCTTTTTCTTGCAGCTGGAAAAACTGAGCCAGACTAATATGACATATCTGAGATCTCTTTGAACTGATTGGGAGAAATCTCAGCATGTGTTGTTAAGGGAAAAAGCAAAGTACAGAACATTGTTTGAGCAAGCTTTTCACTAAGAAGGGGCAGGAAATAGCATTTGTGATTGCTGACCTTATTTATGCTAAGCCACAGTTTCTTCCTCTGTAAAATAAGAGTAATCATACTATCTACATCATAAGGTTGTTGTAAGAATTAAATGAGCTAATATATGCAATTATAATAGTGTTTGAAACTAGGATTACTTCCATATTTCTTTGAGAGTAGACTCTCTTCTCATTAGCATTTATCTAGCCACTAGCAGAAAAAATGGGAGCTTTTTCATGCTTGTGTAATATGAACATAGCTGAAAAAGAATCATTGTGTGGCAGAATCAGCAACTGATTTTGTCCAGTTTTTTTCTGTCCCCCAAAAAGTGTGTGTGTGTGCGTGTATGTGTATGTGTATGTGTGTGTGTATGAGAGATTCACTGGGGGTAGTAGAGCCTCCTGTTTCTAATTATTCAGAGGTTGCTGAAAATTTCTCCTTTTAGTTTGCAACTTTTAACATAGGAACTTGGCTCTGTGAAATGTATACATGTGCTGGTTTCAGGAGTTCAGTTTCATAGGAGGAAAAAGAAAAGCGTTAGGCCTGCTGTTTGCTCCTGGTCCAAAGAAATCTGGGAAGTCAGACACCCTTCTAGTGTCTCCTTTTTAGTATTCAAAAAGAAAAAAAAAGATCAGAAGCATACATAAGCAACCTGTGTATTTAGAGTTGATTGAGGAAGGAAATTCAACCAAATCTTTGCAGGGTAATATTTATAATTTCGAGACATTAAGAAAATGATAAACCAAACACACGCACATAGGATCTTTATGTTCCTGGAGACCTTCACTGTCCAGGTGCCGGCTGCCCACACCAACTGCCCTATTTTGAATACTGACCGTGTGCATTTTGTTTGACAAGGTTTGCATTGAGAAATCAATGTGGACACTCAAATGATTTGTGTGAGGTATGGCTGACAAGCCAAGATTTAATTTCTTTACCCTAATTAAAAATTTACACAGAGTTTTAGTATGGTGGAAAATATTGCTTTGCTCTGTGAAACCACATACATGGGCGGAGGGAACGGACTCCTTTCCTCTGGGCCTGGCTCAGTTCTGAGCGGACCCAGGAGCAAAGTTGAGGGCTTTCCTTAGGCCTGTGGTGAGCCTGGCAGGTCAGGCCTGCTATTCACTCCTGCACCAAAGGAACCTGGGAAGACAGAAACCCTTCTGGTGTGGATGGAAAGGTTTAGATCAACTCAGACACAGGAAATCTGAGAAAATCTTGAACAGACTGTAAACAACCTCCCTCACTGGCAGCAGGACCACCTGGAGTGCCCATGGCTGCTTGAGGAACACTTCAGATGACACGAATCCCTACAATTAATCAACATCGCTGTAGATCACAGTCAGATACAACGTACTTTCCTAAAAGTGCTTCATCTTTTCTACCAGCCCTGTAAGGTTGACGTTATTATCTGTATACACAGATAATATATATAATAAAGTCACTGTGCTCAGAGTGTGTGAGTGACCTGCTCATGTTCCCATGGCTACTCTGGGCAGAACATCCTGGGGCCCTTGCTTGTCCCCATTCATCACTGGTGCTTCCAAACACTGAAGACAGGCCCACATAGAACTGCAAGGCAGGACCGGACCAGAGACAGCCAAGGGCATCTCTAATAAAGAAAGTGTATTTGGCTCCCAAAGGAGGTGGATAGACTTGCAAAATTTCCCCTACATTTTCAAAGGCGATAGACCCTCAGTGGAGCCAAACTGTTGCTGGATTCAAGATCTCCAGAATTTTGAATCTGAAGTGGGTTTACTGCTTACAAACTCAAATTCTGTCCTTTAAAACGTTTACAGATCATCCCTTGTCCCTTAAGAAATCAAAGAATTCTGTCGCTGTCAGGGAGTGTGGTAATAACACATGCTTTAAGGTAGAATTGGTGGCAGCTGAAATTCCTTGCCCTTCACAATTTTCAATCTTTAGTAAATTACTACAGTTCTATTCCAGCTCCGCCTGGTCAGCTCAGACGCTAGAGATGCCAGTTCTCTTCTGAGACATCCTTCTGAGTCACCTTATTTCCAGATTGGGATTAATCTCTCTCTCTTCCCTCCTCTCTCTCTCTTTCTCCTGCGTGCACAAACATACATATACACACAACCTTTTTCTTCTTCACTTCCCCAGGGGTGATTATTCCGGAGCCAGTGGCAGATGCTACAGGAGGGAAGAGGCATTTTTCAGCAGGAAGCGCCTGTAACAAGTGGCCGCTTCTGGCCTTGTGGAGTTTCACATTCCTTTGTTTATCTTTAAAAACAGGATGAGAATGAGAATATATTAATTGCAGGTATGGGGATGAACAGTTGAGTTTTGACCTTTATCATATTGTGGTTAATGGGGAGAAAGGCAGGGAGTGTGCTTGGGCACTGGGACAGCCCTAGCCTTGGGGGAGGGAGGTTCAGAGACCCCTAGTCTCCTGATCTGGGTTGAGGTCTCGCTGGCTGAGTCAGGCGATAAAGAGAACGATAACGATAATAATTAATATTTATTGAGCTCTAAATATGGGGAAAGAGTTATGTAGATATTTCATGTACATTAACTCAATTTACACAATAGACTTATGGGGTTATCATTATCCCCATTCTACAGATGAGAAAACTGAGCATCAGCAATATTGGTTAATATGCCCAAGATCACAGCTGTAAGTAGGGGTAACTTGAGCCCAGAAAGTGTGATTTCCGAATGCATGCAGCTAAGCACTAGACAAAGAGGCACCTGCCAGAGTCTCATTCCCATGTCCAGCTAGATTCTGGCTTTTATTTTCTTTTTTTTTTTTTTTTTTTTTTTTTTATTTCTTTTTTTTTTTTTTTTTTTTGAGACGATCATTTGCCGCCCAGGCTGGAGTGCAGTGGCCGATCTCAGCTCACTGCAAGCTCCGCCCCGGGTCTACGATTCTCCTGCCTCAGCCTCCTGAGTAGCTGGGACTACAGGCGTCCGCCAACACACCCGGCTAATTTTTTGTATTTTTAGTAGAGACGGGGTTTCACCGTGTTAGCTTACAGATGGTCTTGATCTCCTGACCTCGTGATCCACCCGTCTCAGCCTCCCAAAGTGCTGGGATTACAGGCTTGAGCCACCGCGCCCGGCCCTGGCTTTTATTTTCTAAGGTGAGTGGCACAAGGAAGTGATGTTTGGCATGCTTCAGTGTCCTTATATGAACTCTGCATGACTGGGTTTACCCAGATCGGTGAGCAAGACATTTGGGTTCTTACCGCTGAGATCTGCCTTCCTATTAGGGAAGGTGCCTCCACAGAATGTAATGTGGGATTTGTCACTTGGGAGACAAGAGTAATCGATGTGGCCATGCCCAAAGGCCTTCCTGAAGGTTTGCTGTGTCTTTTCATTGTATCTTTCCTTCGAAGCATATAAACGAAGGTGATTCTCTATTGACGTGTCCTAGGGAACGACAAATACACATTCCTGTAAACAGGCTGTTGTAAAGGGCAGAGCAGGTTTCTTTAACAGCCCTCGTGGTTAGGCTTGTGGTTTCAAGTATGAAATTTCCTTTGCAGGTTGGGAAGAAAAATAAGGTTATAACAGCAAGCTCTCTAATGCTGTTTATTACAATAAAACATTTTATTGTTGTTGATAGAAAGAATGATACTTAGCCATGCCTGACATATAGTGCTATCTTGTGAAAAAAATCACAAAATTTTGATTAAAAATCAAAATGAAGTGCTAGTATTGGTGTCTTTATCCATTATGAAATGTTTCTCAGGCTGAACACAGTGGCTCACACCTGTAATCCTAGCACTTTGGGAGGCCTAAGGAGGAGGATTGCTTGAGCTCAGGAGTTTGAGACCAGCCTGGGCAACATGGCAAGACCCAATCTCTACAAAAAAATTTAAAAAATTAGCCAGGCATAGTGGCACACACTTGTAGTCCCAGCTACTTAGGGGGCTGAGGCAAGAGGATTGCTTGAGCCCAGGAGGTCAAGGCTGTAGTGAGCTGTGGTAGCGCCTCTGCACTCCAGCCTGGGCAATAGAGCAAGATCGTGTCCCTTCCCTACCACCCCCCAAAAATAAAGGTCTCTCCCCACTGCCCTTCCACTCTGTGGCTCTTCTCCCCCTTTCCTCTTCTCCTTGGTGTATGACCTTCTTGTAAGTCAAATGAGTTTATTCAGGATGGGAGCAGACATTGTCTATGTTGCTCTGAACAATTGTTATCTTGTACACACACACACACACACACACACACACACAGCCTTAGAGTTTAGAAAGTGTTTCTATATTGTAACTCATTTAATCCTCACAGTAACCTTGTGAGACATATGATAATAGCTCCATTTTACAGAAGAGGTGAATTCAGGCTCAAAGTTAGTTAACGATTCTTGGACAGGCTTATCATAACTAGCAAAAAGCAGGACCCAAACCAAGGCTTTTCTGAGTCTAAGGCAATAGCTATTTTCCAAACAAGATTAACAGCTGCCAAGATGAGCAAAGAGTCAGGGGAGAATCTGTGGTTACCTAAGTTTGGAAAACCCAGAGTTTAACAAAGTTAAGCTGGTGACTATGTTATAGAACTTCTTGAAGTTCTCTGTATCTACGCATGTGACTTTCCAGGAGAAGGCATGCAGAACTTCCCCAATGTATTTGCCTATGAAACTCTCATTTATTTATTTAGAGGCAGGGTTTTGCTCCGTTGCCTAGGCTGGAGTGCAATGGTGCGATCTTGGCTTACTACAACCTCCTCCTCCCAGGTTCAAGCGATTCTCCTGCCTCAGCCTCCCGAGTAACTGGGATTACAGTGCCCGCCACCATGCTTGGCTAATTTTTGTATTTTTAGTAGAGACGGGGTTTTGCCATGTTGGCCAGGCTGGTCTCGAACTCCTGGCCTCAGGTGATCCATCTGCCTCGGTCTCCCAAAGTGCTGGGATTATAGGCGTGAGCCACCGCACCCAGCCAAAATTTTGTTAAATGGAGCATCTTGCAATGCTAGGAGTTCTATATGTGACACTTCGGGGAAATAGTGGTCAAAAGGGTCAAAGTACTCTTCCCTTCTGTGGAGGTATCAAGAAATGGCAAAGGGAGAGAGAATCCTCTCGGTAGTCAAGAACAATGACAGAGGAGAGCACATTAGAAGTGGTACCTCTGGCCAGGCTCGGTAGCTCATGCCTGTAATCCTAGCACTTTGGGAGGCTGAGGCCGGCAGATTGCCTGAGCTCAGGAGTTCGAGACCAGCCTGGGCAACATGGTGAAACCCCATCTCTACTAAAATACAAAAAAGTAGCTAGGCCTGGTGGTACTTACCTGTAGTCCCAGCTACTCGGGAGGCTGAGGCAGGAGAAATGCTTGAACCTGAGAGGTGGAGGTTGCAGTGAGCCAAAATCACTCCATTGCGCTCCAGCCTGGGTGACAGAGTGAGACTCCATCTAGGGGGAAAAGAAAAAAAAAAAAAAAGAAAGAAATGGTACCTCTGCCCGCGTTTCGTCTTCCTGCCAGGGCTGCTTCCTGAGTGGTGGCAAGCGAGTCCCCTGACTGCCATGGTTCTTGGCTAGAGGGCCCTGGTCCACATGTCCAGCAGCTCCAGCTTCCCCTTCATCCAGGCCCTGTTGACCTGCCAAGGTGAACAACGGGTCAGCTTGTCACCCCGGAAATGGACGCGGTGTTCTTGCTGCCTCCAAACTGCCACCCTTCTTGCTTTTCTGAGTAAAGGTGCTCAAGGCCCTCCCTTGCTCCCCCTCCTCCCTTATTCTGTATTTCTGATAGTGCCTCCTTGGAAGTGGCAGCCAGGTCTGTGGAAACAGAGTTGCACTAGCAGTCAGGAGGCTCAGGGTTGAGTCTTCATTTCTTAGACACAGTTTCCCCATCTGTAAAATGGGGATACGGATTTCTTGCCCTCACTTCCTTATAGAGTTATCTGGAGCTCAAATAAGATAATGAATGTGACAGCCCTTTGTAAACTGTGAGGGATTAGTGGATGACAGTGGTGTGATTATGGTGGCGTGACCTGCAGCCTGCTCTGTTGTCATGGAGGTGCTCAGCCTGAAGCAAGCTCTTGGGATTCCAGGGCTGTCTCCTGGCTCTTTATTTGTAGAAAAGCCTCTGCCGAATGCAATGAGGTGAGATTGCTGTTTAGCTCTCTGAACTTATACTGTCTGCAACCCTCAGGAAGGATCTGAGTCAACAGATGACTCCAACATAGTTAACAAATCTTTCATCAATGGTTTAAGGGGTCCTGCAGCTGTTTTCATCACTTTCTCAAGGTAGATTTATTGCTGAAACAGTCTGGCAAAGCTTCCTTGTTTGGAGCCAAGTTTTAGCAATACCTTTATTCCCAGCATGCGGCTCCATGGAACAATGCGGGGTTGTCTTTCAACTAGGGGCTCTGGAAGGCTTTGGGGGCCTGTGTGTGATGGATCACAAGACTTCTGGGAGCTGCTTCTCCTCCTGCCTCCAGCCAGCCTCACCTTCCCTCTCTGCTCCCGTTCATTATTTCCATCCTTGGCGTCACTGGGCCAAGAGTCAATCGCCCACAGGTGGGGCTACTCCCTCCCTCCAGCTCTCCTTCCTTTGCCCAGTGGCTCCTGAAGGCCGTGCTAGAAGTGAACTGAGGCTGAGTGTTGGTGGAAGAAATACAGGCTCAGGCTCAGGTTCAGGTTCAGGTTCAGAGGGTCTGCTCTGGTTTTAGTGGCCCAGGGAATTCTGATGGGCTGGGGACTCATTAATATGAGGTGACCCACGGCTACATTAGGCCTGCTCCTGAGAGGATCTCAACTCCATACAGAGAGCAGCACTGAAGACCTTTGGGGATATTCTAGAATGATTCCTTGTAGAATGATTCCTTGGGGTCAAACCGGATACTAACTAGGTCCATCTTTTCTGGTCAGATTCACCTGGAACCAAATGCATTTCTGAGGGTGGAGGAAGTGAAACTCTAGCCAAATGGCCACTTACCTACTAAATAGTTTTGTTTTGTTTTGTTTTTTTTGTGGGGGATGCAGGGGACATAGTCTCACTCTGTTGCCCAGGCTGGAATGCAGTGGTGTTATCTTGGCTCACTGCAACCTCCACCTCCCAGGTTCAAGTGATTCTCCTGCCTCAGCCTCCCGAGTAGCTGGGATCATAGGCATGCACCACCACACCCAGCTAATTTTTGTATTTTTAGTAGAGACGGGGGTTTCACCATGTTGGCCAGACTGGTCTCAAACTGCTGACCTCAAGTGATCCACCTGCCTCAGTCTCCCAAAGTGTTGGGATTACAGGCGTGAGCCACTGCACCCAGTCTGAACAGTCTTACACATTGGGTCTCTAAGTTGGGGAAGGGGGCATTGTGAGTAGGCGGAACAGAGAGACAATTTTCCCTTTGGTGATATCCCAGGTGAGTTTGAATATGTGACTCAAGCAACGCGAGGGGAAACAGAATTTTTTTTCTTAGTAAACATCATCATCTGATTCATTTATTTGTGCTTAATAGAAACAGATTTCCAAGTAAAGTATTGGAAGCTTCAGTTGTTGAAAGGAGACCACAAAACTTAGTCTCTCGGATCTCAGATATGGATTCAGATAATTCAGATAATGTGCCTTGGAGTAGCTCTGTCCTCTCCTGTTATTTTTCACAAACAACCAGGGAGGAAGGAATGCAGACCCCAGTATTTGCATTTTACATATGCACAAACTGAAGATGCAGAGAGCATAAGTGACTTAGCCAACATCATATTGTTGGAGACCTGGGATTTGCAGCTGGGACTTTTGCTACTTCTTCAGATACAGTGTTGGGCAAAGAGAGGGAAACTAGTGGAAGATAAGGTTCAAACAAATGAAAACATCTGTCAGGGTTCAAGTTACAGCCACTGAACTATTTTTGCTTCTTTTAAAATAGATTTTTTTGGCCACTGTGATCATGGGTAATTGGGCACTCCAACAAGCTAAGGAGGTATAATGAACATTTACTGAGCACATAGTATGTGCCCACTTCTAGTACTACAGTATCTCATTTAATTCCCACATGCAACCCTGTGAGATGAAGATGGGTATGGTCATCTCTATTTTATAAATCAGAAAACTAAGGCCTAGAGTGGCTATATGGCTTGGAATCAGTGCTAATGGTCACATGTTTAATCACTATTTGATACAGTCTCTTTGTTTTCTGCCTGATTGTGACAGCTCCTTAGTATATGGCATCAATTAGGAAAGTCACTTTATCCCTCAGGTGTGCAGTGTTACTCCAGCCATAAAATGAAAGCCCTGAGGACGAGATCAGTGACTGATGCCTGTAATCCCAGCACTTTGGGAGGCCAAGGTGGGAGGAGCACTTGAGAACAGGAGTTTGAAACCAGCCTGGGCAACATGGTGAAACCCCATCTCTACAAAAAAATACAAAAATTAGCTGGGAGTGGTGATGTGCTCCTACAGTTCCAGCTACTTAGGAGGCTACGTGGGAGGATCACTTGAGCCCAGGAATTCAAGGCTGCAGTGAGCCGTAATCACACGGCTGCACTTCAGTTTGGGTGACAGAACAAGAGCAAGACCTTGTCTCTAAAAAAAAATAAAAAAGAGAATAAAATAAAAAAGAAAAGAAAAAAAAAAAGAGACTCAAGTGAGATGTGTGGTTGATTGAACTATGTAATGGCCTCAGGCTCTGAGAACCTGCCATGTTCTTTTCCATTCATTTTATAAACCAGATTCTCTACTTATCCTGACCAGATCATTTCCCCAAAGATGGGGGTTGGTCAGCCACTGCCACTGTTTCTGGAAAATTTCATTATACGTATTTTAGAGGCAGGGTCTCACTTTGCCACCTAGGCTGGAGTGCAGTGGTGCCATCATAGCTCACTACAGCCTTGAATTCCTGGGCTCAAGTGATCCTCCTGCCTCAACCTCCCAAGTAGCTGGGACTACAGGCATGTGCCACCACGCCCAGCGTAAATTTTAAATTTTTTGTAGAGACAGGGTCTCACTATGTTGCCCAGGCTGGTCTCAAACTCCTAGCCTCAAGCAATCCTCCCTCCTTGGCCTCCCAAAATGTTGGGATTACAGGAATGAGCCACTGAGTCTGGCCAAAAATCTTATGTTGGGCTCTTGTTCTTTTATTTTCTCAAGAACTCTGCTACCAGCCAAGGCTCCTGTCTTTGCCTATTACTGCTACCCAGTTGTCTTTTCACATCTCCCTTACCAAAGGTAACTTCTGGCTCTTTTAATGCTACAAGTTCCATAGAATAATATTGACAGGGTCAATCCCCATACTACTAAACAGTTTACAGATGGCTTGCAATAATTTTCTGTATAGCCACGATGTAGGTCTTATTGTGCCCATTACAGAGATGAGCAAACAGAAGCTCAAAGAGGTTAAATGACTTGCTTAAGATCTTACACTAGTAAGTGAGAGAACAGCCATTTCGATACACATTTCTGGCTCCAAATCCTATATATATATTTCACATTATATTGCCACAAAAATCACAGGATTAAGGAATATAAGAGTGGAACAGATCTAAGAAATCATCTAAAATCTAGAGTCTAGACCTACACTGCCAAACACAGTAGCCACCAGCTGCATGTGGTTATTTAGATATAAATTAATTAATATAAAATAAAATAAAAAGCTCAGTTTCACTGTTGTAATACTACATTTCAAGTGCTCAATAGCCACATGTTGCTAATGGCCACTTTATTGGACAGCCCATAGGGAACATTCCATCACTGTGAAAAGCATTATTGGACAGTGCCGGTCTGCACTAACCCCTCATTTTACAGATTGAGGACTATGCAACCCAGAATCCGAAGACCTTGTTTTGGGAAATGCCATTTTAAGGTGTTAACAATTCAAATATCTGAGAACCGGTCATAAAATCAACATGCAAATCAACATGTACCTTGTTCAAAAGATTTTCCTTGTTGAATCCAAAATGAAGGGAAGACAGGCAGGAGATGGTATTTTGGGGGTACACCTGAAAGATCTTGTTGTGGCCTGAGCTTCTTTGGTACATTAAGTTGACTGTCCTGGAGCAGCACAGAATCCTTGATGTATCCTGAAGAGCAGATCAGGGGATATTGATAGAAACAGTGGTCGCCAACTTCAAGTTCTCAGTGGTAACTACAAGGTTCCTCACTTGCACTAGTCTTGGCTTTGGACACTGCCCATTAGGGAAGACAATTAGAAGATGAGGGAGATTAAAAAGTCAGATAGAACCCATAGAGGCTTGTCTATCCAGTGTCTTAGGTGCTTCTGGTTCTGTGCTACATGTGTACTTCCTCTGTCCTATCATTCCCAAGAAATGGGTCTCCCTGGTGGAAGGAACATGGCTGCTTCTTTGGGGCAAAAAGCTCCTTCTGCCTCAGGAGGAGATCCAGTGGTAGTGGATGTATCCTATTTGCTTCTGTAGTCCCCATGGTCAGCAGCCTCGTCAATCCATCATTCTATAAGTATTTATTGAGGGCTTCAATGGGCTCACCCCTCAGCTAGTCAGTGAAGTAGATACAATGGAACCAAACTTGGGCCCTTTTAAAAGGCACTCAATAGTCTATTGGAGAGACAAAGCTCTCTTGTGTTCTGTATGGCTCTGAGTGTCAGTGTAATATAAGGTCAGAAAACAAGGAGCTCAATATTGACTGGAGTTTTCAGCAAAGACTTTGTAGAAGGTGTGAGCTTGAAGGGTGGGGAGGATTAATCATAGGGGTGTAAAGAAGTCCCAGAGAATATATACATTAGTGTCACAAAGTGGGGAGTTCTGAGATGTGCAGGAAGAGGGTGGTGGGGCCATTGGACTGATGGGCTCACATCAGATTCTTGCCATTGTGCCTCCAGCTTGAGGGTCTCACCTTCAAGAGGGACTTTGGCAAGAAATTATGGCAAGGAGCTCTAGAATGCATTTGTGTGTGTATCTTTCCTTAAACCATACATTTTAGCCATAGACTCCCATGGAGGACTCGGAGACTTTTTTTGAGGTTAAGAGGGTCCTTCATTCTGGGGAATGTTGCACCTAGGCTATAGGAGAGTGGCCTGCTCTGCCCTCTGCCCTACCCAATGACAAACACTTCTTTGGTTAAGTGGCTCTTTCTCAAAAGTGTCAAATAAATGGAACTGCCTATAACTGTGGAACTACCCTGAGAGTAAAACCAATGACTGGATGAGCCCACAACTTTCATTTTGCTTCAAGTCACCACTTATTGGGGGAGTGAATTGCTTTCTCTTCTTCCTCAGGGTAAACCTATAAAGCAGGAAGAAAGTCAGTCTTTCTCTGGTCCTGGCTGTTTCTTGTTGCTAAAGAAGTGGCAAACAGCCGAGTGGGTACTGGCACATTCGCTGCTCACTCTTCTCATCTCAAATAGGCTTGCCAAATAAAATACAGGATGTCCAGTTAAGTTTGAATTTTGGATAAACAAGGAATACTTTTTTAGTAGAAGTACATCCCGAAGATTGCAAGTGTAACTGTTTATGCATGTTGCGGGGGTGGGTATGCACGTGCTTAATCTGGCAACTCTAATCCCCAACCACTTCCCATTTTTGTTTTCAAGCATTTACAGAGTGCATTTAGAGTCTGTTCATCAGAAGGGTGTCCATCCCACTCCTAATGGATTATGCTGGAGAGCCGCCATCTTTTTTTTTTTTTTTTTTTTTTTTTTGAGGCGGAGTCTGCGCCCGGCTAATTTTTTTTTGTATTTTAGTAGAGACGGGGTTTCACCGTGTTAGCCAGGATGGTCTCGATCTCCTGACCTCGTGATCCGCCCGCCTCGGCCTCCCAAAGTGCAGGGATTACAGGCGTGAGCCACCGTGCCCGGCGAGAGCCGCCATCTTTAAGAGGAGAAGTCCTAACATTTCATTTCTGGGAGGACCTGGGATCACCTCAGATGGGGAACTAAGGAATGCTGGGAAGAATGTGGAACTGTGGGAGTGCAGGGTGGATCTGACTTCTGGTCCCAGCTCTGCTTTTGATTGAATGATCTTGGACAAATTCCTTTGCCTCTCTGGGCTTCTTCTTCCTTATCTTGTAAAAGGTGGGGGTTGAACTGGAGGGTCTCTGAGTGGAGAAGATTGGGAAGAAAGTTCTGGCCTGGATGTGGCAGGTGAGGCTGCTGAGGGCGAGGGGTGGGAGTGAAGGCAGGACTTCAGGTCGTTCTTCCCTCTGCAAATGCTTCAGAGGACAAAGGGTGGGAGCTGTGAAATGGATTTGTGGGCTACCAGGCATGGAGTTTTGCTTTAACACAGAATTGGGCTTGAAATCCTGGTGTTTCAGGTCTTGATGGAAAACACACTGTCACACCAGAATGGGAGGTGGGGCAGTTTAGGGTGTGCCCCTCTCCCATTTCCCCACTGACCTGCGCACCACAGCCTATACATGGCGTCTGGGGGCCAAGTCCGCAGGAGGCCTCTGAGGTATCTCTTGGCTGAATGTCCCGGCTGGATCTGCCGTTGGGCCTGGCTCTCCAGCTGGCTTCGGAAGTGGAGGTATGGTTGCCAGGCTCTGTCCTGCTGTCCCTGTGGGGACACCAGTCAGGAAACAGTACAGCTGCTGAGCCTGAGCCACCCAGTGATATAGGCTGGTTAGCACAGTCTTCATCAGTAACCCAGGAAACTCCCAGAAGGTGCCAGAAGGCACCAAAAACAGATGCCTTGGCTAATAGACATAAACCAAGAGCCCTCAGAACAAAGCTCTGAAAGGCCCCTGCACGTTTGCAGTTGGAAGCAGAAGGAGAAATGACATATACCAGACTCCATCTTGAGATAGAGCATTAGGAAAGGATAAAAACTTCAGAAGAAAACACATTACCTAGTTCAGCCTGTGGACATCATTTTAGTGTCTTCAAAAATGGCTCTGTACTGTAATGGGAAAGCCAGCTCACAAATCTGCATTGGCATTCAGTGTTTGTAATATGAATAATGGGACAGACAAATCATGTCCGTGTTCACGGGGAGCCTGGCATTTTGAAAATATCTGGCTCTGATGCATTTCATTTAAGCTGGGGAGAATTTTCTGGGAACCTACCTGCCAAAGTCAGTGCCACCATGCAAGACATCATGGGGAATAAATATGGATAATAACATCTTACAAGTGACTAGGAATTTACATTATACAGAGAACTTTCACCTCATCTGTAATCCTATAAGGTGGACTGAGTTACTATAACCACTTAACTGATGTAGAAACTCTCAGAGGATGATTGCTTAGGCACAAGAATAGCAAATGTGTTATATTTGTGTTGACATCTCTCACCCTCCCCAGTGTCCATGGCAGACATTCCTAATCAATCACAGAATTCTTGACTGCTAACTGAAGGTGATCTCAGAATCCATTTTCTCCTTAAAAACATTTTTGAAACTGAGGCATAATTTATATAGCATAGATTATACAGAGCTTGGATGTTCATTTGATAAATATTGACAACTGTATATACCTTTGTAACCACCACAGAAAACAAAATCCAGAACATTTTCATCCACCCAGGAAGTCCCTCATGCCACTTTTTAGTCAATATCCTCCTGCCCACTAGGTAATTGCTATTCTGATTTCTAACACCGTGGACTGTTTTTTTCTATTCTTGAACTTCATATGAATGGAAACAGACAGCATATATTCTTGGATGCTCCACAAAAGTGATCCACACAGTGTGCCAGTGAGAACTGGCATGAAAGATGAAGTCCACTTAGTCCCCTTTGGCTAAGGAACTCTCCCAAGGCAACGATATAGCCTGGAAGGATAGAGGGCAACTGTGTGGAGCCAGTTAGAAGTGGAGTTGGGCTCGAATCTAGGGTTTCAGAATCCACATCAGTGCAAAGGCTCTTGTTCTTCAACAACTGACCATCTCATCAAAGGACCAGGAGTTAGCACCAAGAACCAGCTTGATGTCAAAACAATAAATAAAGATGTTTTGAAGCAGGTGCCTCAGTGAGTGTCGCAGACTGTAAGAACTATCTTCTAGGGAGACCAGCGTTTTCATACATGTTAGTATGCAATAAATCCTGACTCAACAGACTTGAACAATGAGAAAGAAAGTTTGTTGTCTCATGTAACAAAAAGACCAAAGGCTAGAGAATACCAGGGTTGGTTAATTCAGTGGCTCAATAGCTCTGGCATCCTGAAACTCATCCTGTAGGCACCAAATCTCTTTCTAACCTTCAGAACAGTCTTTCATTTCAGTCTTATGGGCCTGCAGAGGCTGAACAATGGACACAGGGAAACATCAAGTGGGTCCAAAAAGCACAAGCCGAAGAGTGGGAAGGAGACAGCCTGTGAGAAAGCTTGGGAAAGAGCCTTGGATTTACGGCCAGAGTGCCTGGGCTCAAGGCCTGCTCTGCCTCAGGGGAACTTTATGATCTTGGGTGAGCTCTGGAACCTTCTGAACCTCTCTCTAAAATGGAGCTAAATAGTGGTAGAGGGAATGGAGAGTGCATGGGTTCTGGAATCAACCCGAGAGTCAGGTTTCACAGTGCCTGGCACATACTAGGGGCTCAATATTGTGGGGGAAATGAATAAATGAACAAATAGTTCCAATCCCAGCCCCACCATTTCTCAATCATGTAATTGTTGTATATTTCCACCCATAATACTGACATAATACCTCCTTTTTGGTGTAAATGAAATAATGTAAATGAACGGTGTCCCACTGCGCCAGCTTATAGTAAGGTGACAGGGTGCATCCTCTCACTCCCTGTCCGCCCTGCACTTGTGAAAGCGCTTTCCAATCTCTCAGTACTCCTAAAGGGAGCTGAGGAGAACACAGTGGAGACTGAGCAGAGGCTTTGCCTTAAGATGGGATTGATCTTGAGATCTTGCCCCATCCTTGGGCATGTTAATTACTTCTCTGAGTAATTTTACTCAGTGTCCTCAGTGTAAGGATTAGATGAGCTGAGGTATGTAAAATACTTAATGCTTAGCACATAGTAGGTGGTGAACAAATATTAGGTCTTTTCTCCTTTCCCTTGTCCAGGTGGTGGGAGATTATGCTAACTACCCAACACTTATTCCCCCTCGCTTCTTTTTGCTAAAAAAGCCCCGATTTTTTGTCAGCACATCCCCTTTCCCAAATAGTCATCCCTCGTTATCTGTGGGGAATTGGTTCCAGGACCTCTGTGGATATTAAAATCTGTGTATGCTCAAGTCCCTTATATATTATAAAATGGTGGTAGTAATATTTGTACAGTATAGCCTGTATGCATCCTCCCTATACTTTACATTGTTTCTAGCAACTTATAATGCTGAATACAATGTAAATGCGGTATAAATAGTTGTTATACTTTCTTTTTTTTGTTTGGATTGTTATTTTTTTTCCTGAATATTCTTAATCCCTGGTTGGTTGAATCCAGGGAAGTGCAGACATGGAGGGCCTTGCTTTCCCAGACTCCGTTGCATCTCAGAGTGGCCAAGGGACCTAGCTCTGGTCAATGAAACTAAGGGGAAACTATTGGGAGCCTCTGGAAGGTCTTTGTTTCTTTAGAGAAGGAACAGCTGTGCAAGGATGGCTTGCTGGCCCCTTTCTTCTGCTTTGAACCCAGATGTGACCTCTGAAAGTATGGGACCATCTTGTGAACATGTGCTAACAAGCCTAATTAGAAAAACCAACATTCAAAGGATAGTGGAAGGAAAAGATAGCGCTTGCGTCCTTAATGACATTGGCGAGCAGCTGGGCAAGCATGAAACTCCTGCCCCTTCACTTTGTGTTACTTGAGATAATTAAATCTCTTTATTGCCTAAATCAGGGGTTGGCAGACTTTTTTTTTTTTTTTTTTTTTTTTTGAGACTGTCTTGCTTTTTCAACCAGGCTGGAGTACAGTGGTGCTAATTTGGTTCACTGCAACCTCTGCCTCCTGGGTTCAAACGATTCTCCTGCCTCAGCCTCCAGAGTAGCTGGGATTACAAGTATGCACCACAATGCCTAGCTAATTTTTATATTTTTTGTAGAGACAGGGTTTCACCATGTTGGCCAGGCTGGTCTTGAACTCCTGACTTTAAGTTATCCACCTGTATCAGCTTCCCAGGGTGCTGGGATTACAGGCGTGAGTCATCATGCCCAACCTGGAAGGTATTTTTAAAGGGCCAGAGAGTAAATATTTTAGGCTTTGCAGGCCATATGGTCTCTGTTGCCACCACTCAACCTGTCCTTGTAGTGCAAAAGCATCCATAGACAATATGTAAACAAATGGTCATGGCGGTGTTCCAATAAAACTCTATTTACACAAACAAGTAACGGGCAGGATTTGGCCAGTGAACAGTGTTTGCTGATTCCCCAACTTCAACCATTGATAATCATAGTTATCAATGATTGATATCAACATATCAAATATGTTGCTTGCAGCCAAAAGTATTTCTGATACATGGATACGATATGGGAGCAACAGATTTAAAGCTGCTACAGATTGAAGGGATGGGAAACAAGCACTGGAGAAAAGGGGATGATTAAGATGGATTGATAACTAATAAAATCACATCAAGTGAGTCCAAAATGCACAAGTGGCAGAGTCAGGAGGAGACAGCTTGTGAGAAAGCCTGGGAAAGTGCTCTAGATTTAGGGCTAGAGTGCATGGGTTCAAGGTTCAAGATAAAAGAAAGCGTGGCTTACTATTCAATTGGCTTTACTCCTTAGGGACTTATGAATTAAATGAATGCTTAGAATTCAAACATAGAGCATCACCTGCTCCTTAATGTCTGGAAAGTTTATGTGGCAGGTACTTCAAGTGCAAAAACAGCCTAGAAATTCAATCTCATGTGGTCTTGAGGCTTTTCCCAGAGGACATGAAAGAAACAATTATAGAGAGGATGGTGGAAGCTAAATGACACTTTTACTCACTCAATTTTTTCATTCAGTCATACGATAAATATTTGTTGGGTACTTTTTATATGCCAGACGCTGTGTTGGGCCCTAAAATACGGAGCCATTAGACCAGAGGCCTTTTCTGGGTGAATTGGAAATTCATTTCTTTTCTGTGAATCTTTGCTTTGACTGACTTTCCTCTGAATGCAGTAAGGACCAGTCTCTTCCGAGATGCTGTGGTGGCCCCTGTGCGGATGGCATGATGTGCTGTTTGAGTCTGGACAAGAACACTTGTAGTTTCTCATTAGTGGGCATTTCTTTTTCTTTTCTTTTCTTTCTTTTTTCTTTTTCTTTTTTTTTTTTTTTTTTGAGAAAGAGTTTCGGTCTTTCGTCCAGGCTGGAGTGCAGTGGCATGATCTTGGCTCACTGCAACCTCTGCCTTCTGGTTTCAAGTGATTCTCCTGCCTCAGCCTCCTGAGTTGCTGGGATTACAGACACCCAACACTACCCCCGGCTAATTTTTGTATTTTTAGTAGAGATGGGGTTTCACCATGTTGGCCAGGCTGGTCTCGAACTCCTCACATCATGATCTGCCTCCCAAAGTGCTGGGATTACAGAAGTGAGCCACTGCGCCCAGCCATTAGTGGGCATTTCTGAAGCACCAGCTTGGTTCTGAAGCTTTACTGAGAAGCTTGCACCATGGTGCAGGGAGTTGCCAAGAAGAGTTAG